GGACATATCTCTAAATAGTATATGTCATAAAATGGAAGAGGCTTTGCATAGGGTTGGTAGATAGAATATCAAATGCCTAGTTAAATTTGAATTTCAAATAAGGAGTGGTGAAGTTTGTTTCTACATGTCCTCCCAAAGCCTCACGCAAGGGCTGGACATGGTGGTGCATGCCTATAATCCTAGCACTTGGGAGGCTGAGGCAGGATGATTGCTGTGAGTTTGAAGCCAGCCTGGGATACAAAGTGAAACTACATAGTGAAGCCTTACCTCAAAAAGACCAAAAAAAAAAAAAAAAAAAGCCTCATGAGGTCATTGGGGGCTTTTTAGAGGTGGTTGGATCTAGAATGTGTTATACTAGGATCCAAGGATGTGTGATTACTAAATCAGTCCCTGGAGTGGTTTGGCATAGTTATGGCTAGAATTAAGGTTATGAGTGCTACAACTGCCCTAGGCTGGGTAGCCAGCATACAATATAAGGGGCAGAAAGAGGGCTAATGTGCTCTCGCCTGACTGCTTGCCGTGCACTCTTTCTCCTGCGATGCCCCTCTGCTGTGCCCCCCTGCCTTGGAGCCAGCTGACTATGGACTGAAACCTCTACAAACCATGAGCCAAATAAACCTTTCCCCATTTAACTTGTGGGTGTCGGGTATTTTGTCTCAGGAACGAGAAAGGTGGCTGTGACAAACTGTCCCAAATATTGCATGGAAAATACTTAATGTACAAAACTTGCCCATTGTTTTCATGTTATTCACATGTGTCTGGGCATCCTGTATTTATCCACTTTGCTAAATCCAGCAACGTTGAAGGGTACACGTTGAGGTGGGAATAATTACTGAATGGAACATTGTAGAATTTAAGAGTGGAAGTGCGTGGCTAGTCTTTAAAGGTATGTGCTTGTGAGTGCTGGCTGCTTAGTAAACATTGTGGAAGGAGGGGAGGTGGGAGGTAGTGACAGTAGCACAGTGTGCAGTTGGCGTGAGTGGTGCCAGGTCCTTAAGGGCTCAGAGGAGGAAGAAGGCCAGTATTCACTGCAGAAGGTGGTACTTGTGTGGTACCTTGAGAGTGGCACCTCCTATAAAGGTGAAAGAGAAGGGCAGGCCCGTCAAGAGCAGAAGCATGAGATTTCCAAGGTGGGAAAGCGGTGGGGCAAGCGGTTGGGAGGACTTTGGAGCAGACCATGATATGTGTACAAGCAGGCGGGCATTAGAGTGCCTCTTGGGCTGTCTTTTTGGTACTTATTCAGTGGTGTAGGGGGAGGATAGGGTTATTATTTCTCATTGTGATCAGAGAAACGAAATTTTTAATTTTTAATTCATTTGCTGCAAGGCATGTGTCAGGTTACCTAGATATAAAAGAGTTCTTTTTGTGAAACTAAAACTTCAAGGGTGACATTGTCCAAAACAGTAGTAAAATTGGAATAGTCATTTTAATGGAGGAATATAGTGAATACAAGTGGAGGAAGAGATGGTCTACATTTAAGGCTCTTAGTATCATCAGGATACAAATTTAGTACACGTGGTGACAAGGGTATATTGTATATTCCTTCACCTAAGCAATATTGCCTCTATTAGATGTTACCTAGCTTTGCAGCTTTACAAAAATAGGGGGAAAACCCCACAATTAATAGAGATAAAAGGCTGGAATCTCAATTCTGGAATTCCAAAAAACAGAATTTAGTGGTGTGAGCAAAATCTAAGACAGGTCCCAACTGAATGACATGAAAACACATTAAACATAACTAGATATATGGCTACTTTGATCTAAACCACAGGGAAATGCCAGAAAGTTAAAGCTTGCAGAGTATACTCAGATAGCAGCGCTTTTAAGGAGGAGGAGGAGAGATGTGAAATGTGTCGATGTGGACAAGCTGGAAAGCGGGCCTCTTGATTCCTGGACGCGTGTCCCAGTTGTCTTTATGTGGCAGTTACAAAGATTAGACACCTGAAAGTTTAAAGGGAAGATATGGTGCTTTGGTTTTGTTTTCTGTCTTGTAACGTTATTTTTATTTATCTACGTCCATGACCTCAGGTGCTCTCCAGTGTATGCCAAAGACATGGCACTGTGCCCATTTCTTTGATATTTCAGAACAAAACTCCTGCTGGTGGAGTTCCTGCCATTTATCCTGGAAGACCATAAGCATACAAGTCCTAATAAATAAAAATTTTGATCTTCAAAGGACACAGTTGAGAGATGCTGGAAATATATTATTGAAAGCTCTCTTGTGCAGCTGTACATTACGAAAGACCCACACTGGTTTTCTGATAGCACGGGATTGTGATGTTGGATTTCTTGCTAGCAAAATGTTCTTGTTTAGCGTCTGACCCGCTCTCTGTTCACAACCCATGGATGGTCAGGACTCTTTCCTTACCATGAAGGGATCCCTGGCCTCTTCTTAGAACTATCGAGTGAGAAATCCATGGGCCCGAGATAAGCAGTTTGGAGGCCTGAGACGAGCAGTCTCCGGAGAGGGGGTGGTGACTCTCATGGCCACCGTGTGGGGGCAGGTTGCTGCAGGTCAGGTGGCCTGCGCTGGAAATTTGCCCTTGAGCAGAGATGGGGGCTGCTCTTTTGAAGGAGGTCATCATAGATCTTTCTCCTCCTGGCAGCTGCAAGTTCTAATACCCATTCCTCACCTGTTTTGCCTACGGCTCTTCCTCCTTTCCTTCACTTACATAATTGGTGGCTATAGTACGAGGAGTACGGTGACAGAAACTAAGGCAAGTAATGGTATTAGTTAGAATCTGAAATTCCAAGTTTAAAGTCTTTTTCTGTTGTTTGTTAGGGCATGACCCTGGTCATAACACTTAAGCACTGTGAGCTTTTTTTTTTTTTTTTTTTCATTCATAAACTGAATATTCATATTTTATATTATCTGTCTGGGATTATTAAAAATTAAATGAAAAAATATAAATGAAAGTGTATCCTAGGGCTATGATGATGACTGTGATTATTTTTTAAAAACCCAGTGGGTAGGCTGGTTCTTCATATCCAGAAGAATATAGGATTCCTATTCAGAGTCTTTCTGAACAAAAACCAGCAGTAACTTGCTTATTTGAGTTTTTATAATGAAGTGTAAATACAAGATAGAAAAAATTCTTGAAGAATCTCCTGATTCTTGAGTAAATTTTTTATATTTAAAAAATTGTCACAAAATAAGTATTTTAAAGACGTGTATAATGGTTCCTGAAAAATACCTGAAATGCCCATCCTTTTATAAATGTTTAAGTATGTAATTTGTTCTACATGTCTAATCCTGAATGATTAAATAATTTGCATACTGTTTTTAGTGGCATGAATTAAAGGCTAATTGAAGTCTAATTTTTTGCAGTAAAATTATATCATCTTTTATGTAGTACATTTTAAACTATTCTAGGTCAGTTCTAATTTTACAGTTTTATTATTTTAATTTAATGTATCAACTAATTCAAAATTGCTACAAAGAAAAGAAGATGAAAATGATTTCAGTTAATTTCCCCGCAACAGAATGAAGCAGTGTTAAGTGGAGAGAAATGGAACTTAGCCCAACACAGTTCCTGGCACATAAAGATATTCATTAGATGTTCTGCATGAATAAGGAATGAATAATTTCCAAGTATTTCTAGACTGTTGGGGAAAGGCACCATTCTCAGTGCCGTCTAAAACACAAAAAAGATGGGCTGACATTTTTGTATTGAAAGACCTGCATACAGAGGTCACATAAGCCAGTTGTTACTGAGCCGATAGATCCTCAGGTTGCTCTTACAGTAGGTTCTCAAGCCTAAGTCAGTTACAGATGTTGACAAATCATTTTCCATGGATGTCTTGCATTTCTGTGCAAGCAGAGGCATTGTCTGCTCGTTGGTATGTCTGTTCAAGGATTTTTTGTTTTAAATTTTGTGTGTGTGCGTGCGTGCGTGCTACTGAGGATTGAACCCAGGGTCCTCATACTGAGCTGCATCTGCAACCCTCTTGCTTGCCCCGCTTCTTCTTTTTAAATGTTGATACATGGTCTAACCTGCTCAGGCAAGGCTTGAACTTGGGATCTTTCTGCCTCAGCCTCCTGGAGTGCTGGGGTTAACAATTGTGTGCCACTAGGCCTGGTTCAAGGGTGTTCATCTATGCAAATAGCTGTGGAAGACAGAGATAGGCTCCCTTTAGAGCAAAGTGCAGTTTCCTTATAGCCTGGGAATGCAGAGACAGTGTCTCCCTCCAGAACAAAGGGCAGGTATACTTATTGCTTATTATGGAAGGTTTGGTTCTCTAAAATCAGGGATCCTGTCCTGTTTTGTAGGTGTTACATGGCCCTTATTGTGTCCCCCAGGGGGAATTGGAGTGTAGGACACTGCTGCACAACATGCAGTTCTGTTGCTGCTGTTACTTCCGCGCAGGAATAAACTACTCTGTCTCTCAGCAGAAGTAAAGGGGCATCTTAGGGTTAGAAGTGGAGATGGGAGGAGAGGAAAACCTTTGGCTGAGAGTGCTGCCTAAAGTTATGAAGCAGCTAATATAACCCTTCCCTGATGGGGATAGAGATGGACAGGGTATAGAAGAAAGAATAAGTTGCTAGAGGAAAGAAAATCTCCTGAAGCTTCGTAGCAGCTGAAAGCCAGTCACATTTGTTGATTGAAGCTCTAACTCACAGTATTGGCACCTATTACACTGAAGTTTATTCCGTTTTTTGCTTTTTTTGTCTGAGCCAAGATGATACGTTTTTATGATCACTCTTTGTGCCTTTTGCCTTCTTTGGTTGATCACATTGAGTGTTAGCAGCTGAAAGGGAGGCTGTTGCCCTAGGAAAAGACCTGATGGTGGTGGGGCCTTTTCAGTCACTCAGAGAAGTCTGACCCTCGAAGTCTCAGCACTCTCAGTCCCTCAGAGTTTGAATGTACTCATGCTGCCCCCTAGGACAATCCTTTACCCTGCTTCCCTGCCTCAGGGTAGCATTCAGGTTGTTAATTAGATATTCTGCACCTTTTTGTTAGTTGCATGATAAAATAATTGTACTTTACTTTGTGCCACAGGGACTTCTATTCGGCGTCATCGGATTGCTCTTCCCCCTCCTAATGATGATCAGTTTTATACTGTGTATGATTTCAATATTAACGTTGACATCGTCTTCTATGGCCGAACATTCAAGATTTATGATTGTGATAAATTTACCAAAAACTTTTTGAGAAAAATAGGAGTCAAATTAAATCCCCCAGGACGGCGTCCAGAAGACCCCTATTTGAAGATGCGTAAAGAGGTAAGACATTGTATTTACAAGTTCTTGTCTTCATAATAAGAATTCCTTTTATAGCCTTGGCTTTTCCAGGTTTGGCTGCCTAACTCTGGCTGGGAAAAAAATCCTTGTTTGTGTGCTACTGATTTAGTGCTTGCTTCGGCAGCACATATACTAACATCTATCTGTACTACTGATTCAGTGAACCCAGGCTGGGATCTACCTTCGTTCTTCTTCCTCGAGCGTCCCAGCTCTGTTTATGGTGGCAATGGGTGCTGAGATGCTCGGTAGGAGTGAAAAGGGTGACAACTGTCATGTCCCTCTGTTATGAATTGGTGCTTATCCTCCAAATTGGACCCTGGATAGTGTAAGGACTAAGACTCAATATTATTTTTACAATTTGTATCTTTCTGTAGTTTTTTAAATGATTCTTTCACTGAAATTTTTACATTTTCCAGAAGAAGAAACTGAATTCCCAAAGGGAAGTGTCATGTGGAAGGGCACTCACCCAGTCAGTCTCCTTGCTGGGGCTTCAGTGCAGATCTCATGACTCTTACCTTGATTTCCATTACCATCATTTGTTTCTCTCTTCTTTTTTAAGTGACATATGATTAAACACACACAAAATATACAGTCATTAATATACTGTTGAATGATTCTTAACAAATACATGTACTCATGCAACATGCCCCCAAATCCAGACATTGAACAGTTCCTTCTCACTAGAAAGTGTTCTCATGCATTTTTTCTAATCAGTTCCTTTTCCAACCCAGGGATGACTACTGTTTTCATTTTTATCCCCACAGATTAGTTTCATCTGATTTTTTCGTTTGTTTGTTTGTTTTTTGAGATGGGCTTTTGCTGTGTAGTTAAGGCTGGCCTCGATAGACCTCACTATGTAGTGCAGGCTGGCTTTGAACTTGTGGCACTCCTCCTGCCTCAGCCTCCTGAGTCCTGGGATTACAGGCGTGCGCTACTATGCCTGGCTGATTTTTATTGTTTTTAAAATTTATAATCCATTTCCTTGCAAGAAGATAACACAATTTGGAATAAAATACTTGGATTTGGCATTGATCTATTGTTAAAACTGACTTATATGATTTTTCATCTATATCTGCCTCTTAACCCCAAAATGATTCTTTAATGTCATAGGCCTAGAACCTTCTGTATCCGAGGTACAATATCAGTATATTGGCGTGCTAAGAGCCCTTTTTGTTTGAGTTCATTTATGTTTTTCCATACCCCTCACTGATGAATGCAGAGTTTTCAGAACTACCGGAAAGAACCTAAGAAAAATGGATCCATAGGAATTACCACCCCCTGACATGTAGCTGGCCTTATTCGCTGACGGTTGGTATTATATGATAGCGGTTGAGAATGGTATATTTCATAATATTGCAGAGAACATGGTGGGATTGCATACGTTTATAAAGAAAAAACAGTTTTTGTGCCGGGAATTGAGAGTAAGTACCAAGTATAGCCAAAAAAAATGTTTTAAGTAATTTCCTTTCAGATTGGGAGAATTGTTTTAGCATTTATTTCCCCAGGGAGAAAACTCTTCAATAAATACAGAATCCTTTGGAAAATTAGGAGTTTAATAAGAGGCTTTTATATTGACTTTTATGCATTTAGTTCTTTAGTGTTTGCTGCCTTGAAATATAAAGTTAAAATTAAAAACAATTTAACTTAATCTGAAAAGAACCCCAGTGGTATATAATCAATAATCCATTTATTAGAGATCTTATAGTACCAAAGAAACAGTTTTTAATTGTGGGAAGTCGACTTCCTGTCATTTCAGTTAAATACTGAGGGTCAGGAAGCAGGGCCTCTGGATAGCCATCTTTTGGTCTAGTCCGGTGGTCCCCTTCACCTGTCTGGGGCTTCGACTGTATATAGACTGCTCTGGACAAATCCACAGTTTCAGAATTTACAGAAATGATTGCATAGCTTGATTTGAGAGCACTCCTCCCTTGCCAAGTGTGTCCTTCCTTATATGGTGTAACAGTTCTGTTTGGCTACATCACGTAGAATGGGGCCAGTTCTACTCCTAGATGGGGCTGAGCACATGCAGGTGGAGTAGAAAGGTATACATCAGAGACTGCGATGCTCATAGTTCTGAGGCAGAGGCACTGAGATGGGCTTGTATGCGGAGCAGTTCTCCATTTGCTCTGTTCCTGTTTCCACTGAGCTTTCACATTCTTGATAGTGAAAGCTTTTTGAGCAAAGTTGAACCATAAATGTATTTTTTTTCGCTCCAGAAAAATTTAAATGAGTAATAAGCATATATAGGTATGATTTCCAGTAACAAAGACATGATTTTTTAAAAATCCGAGATAGAATTAGCAGAGTCAGATACACAAATCTTAAAGCATATAGATATATTTTGGATTGTGGGTGGAGCTCAGTGGTAGAGCGAATGCAAGGGCCCTGGGTTTGATTTGTAGCACCCCTCCTCCAATCCCCCAATGTAGAATACTTTCTTCACTCCACAAAGCACCCTAGAAAGTTCTTTTGTGCTTCTTTTCAGTCAAAGCCCTTACCCAGAGGCAATTACTGTTCTGGTTTCGGTTATCATAGTTAGTTTTTGTTTTGTTTTGTTTTTGTTTTTGCCATAGGTTAGTTTTGTCTAGTCTTAAGAAGCTAAGTTTTTGAGAAAGGTCAGTTCACAAAAGTATTACAAGCATATAGTTTACTGTATTAAAATAATCTTTAACAAAATATGAAAAATGTGTCTGTATTCTTAAGGAGAAACCTGGTTATAGATGTATATATATGTCAGTCAGTTGAGATCTTTTAAAAAAATCGCAGTCTGTAGAAAAGTTGTCTTTAGGTGAGTTGATCGCTTACATGACATAAATGCATATACAAAACCTGCGGCTGTTTCTGCCATTTTCTCCATCTGCAGGTATTGGAGCATGTGGAGCCCCTTCGTCCCTATGAGTCCTTTGACACCCTGAGACAGTTCTTGCAGTACGATGGGAAAGTTTTGCGTTTCTTCTGCCTGTGGGATGACTCAGGCTCGTTGTTTGGGGATCGTAGAGAACTTGTCCTGCATTACTTCTTGTCTGATGATACCATTGAAATCAAACAAGCATTGCCAGATAACTCAGGCCGGGATGCTCGGGAGGCTAAGTTGTTCTTCCTCCGGAGGAGTAAGCTACCTAAGGTGAACAGCGAGCGCAGAATCACTCTGTGTGGTTTTTTTGCTTGTGGGCCAAGGGATTGGAGTCAGTGTTTGGAATGTTGCATGTTATGACTATGTAAAGACAGTTACTGTAGTGTAAATACATAGAAAACTTTCCATTTTGTATTAACATATGAGGTATAGTCACAGTATACAGTGTGTGTTTAAGTTTAAAAATCCTCTTTCCTGAGCATCTTTATAAGATGTGATCAGAAATACGGTGAATGCTGCTGCTGAGCCATCGAAGAGAAAGGCAGGCTTACAAAAACGTAATAGTGTGTCCTCATCCAATTTATTCAGTGAATCTGGCACCGTGTGACTTCTGGCTCTTCTCCAAAGTCAAAATGACCATGAAAGGTAAATTTTGAATCAATTCAGGACACAGAGGCAGCTATGTCAGTGTGAGTAAAGATATCTAAGAGGACATCCAGAATGGCATCACAAAGTGGCAAGAACAATGGAGTACAACAATGGGGAGCAAGGGCCAGTATTTTGAGAGGGATAAATGGCTAAGTGTCTTTTGCTGTAATACATTTAAAAAAATGAGCATTCACTGTAGTGTGTGTCTCTGTGTGTGTGTCTGTGGTGCTGGGGATCAAACTCAGGGCCTTGTGCTTGCAAGGTAAGAGCTCTACCACTGAGCCACATTCCCAGTCCTCACTGTAGTTTTTGATTACACCTCATACAGCCATGAAAGTAATCCAGGGAATCTGACAAATTAGAGTTGGAACATTCTGAACTTAAAGCAAGTAAGGAAAAAAGTCACGTGTAGCAGAGAGTGTCAGTCTTGTCACTTGAGTTGACAGGTAGTCTTATTAAACTAAGGGAATCCTTAGTGAAAGTATTGCTCTTGGCCTGCAGGGCACACTGAGAAGTGGCCTCTGCAGCCTACTGAGGTGTTGAAGATGTTGATCTGAGTTGTGAACGCACAGCACATGCACCTGCATTTCCATGTCATACACAGACACACACGATAGATAGTATACGCACAGGAATGACTCTTTTGAGTGCTTTGCCAGCTTTAGCATTTTATTTACTATTCCAAAGAGTTGTCAGACTGATTTCTACAAATAATTATGTTCATTTGGAGGCTAATGTAACCTGGGTGTTGGAGGAGTAGCCTAGAGCCAGACACTGGATTTGAATTGCAGATCTGCCTTTTAAAAGCTGTGTGACTTTCAGTGAGTCAGTTAACCTCTCTGTTCTTATTACTGTCTATAAGATGCAGTTAACAGAGTCCTGAGGTAACTGTAAGGACTGAATGAGATAATATAGTAGAAAATATCATCTGAGGCCCCATTAAGATCTATAAGGACACATAAAAGCATGAAGCCTTTTTTTATATAGCTCTGTTATATTTTATTTCTGATTTGGCTAATGTAATTTTTAACTTAGTTCTTAGAGTTCCTGAAAAGGTTACTGCAGTACTCATTCCTTATTCACATAACTGCCGGCTGTCCAGTCTTCCCAGGAGGCTCTCCCAGGTTCTCCAAGTCCTCTGCCGGAAGTTCTGCTGGACCGCTTGGAGATTGGGAGAGGCCGGATTGTCCCCAGGGGAATGCTGGGATAAGCACAGCAGGCACCCAGGAGGTACCAGGGAAGCTTGTTTTTAATAACTTTGAAAAATAGGCTAAATATAAAATAATAACAGAGCACCTGATATTTACAGTGTGCCCTGACACCAGTGACTTTGTTTTATTCATTCCCCACATATTTATTGAGGGCAGAGCATATGCTGGCTGTGGTGTTACAGTGTGAAGGAAAATGACGTCCTGCTCATGGAGGTTGGGTTTTCATGGGGGAGAGATACAGAAGGGATGGGTGTTCCCTTGACACTCAGTGTCCTTTGAGAAAGCAGCAGGAAGTGATGCGGCTTCATGTGTTCCCTGACCGCTCCATTTCGGTGTGTGCCTCACCTTGTTTTGATTTTGTCTTCCAGTATGGCCCACCTGGAATCTATCAACCAGGCCAGATAACAGATCATTCAGTTCTCAATGTGTTTGGTGGCACGTACAGGAGGCAGAAGTTTGGCTACGTGATGGATAAGTATAAGGCGAGGGCTATCATATTTTATTAACGCTTCCAGTGTAATTTCCCCGCAACCTGAGCATTTGGACGACTTACATATTTTTCCCTTGTGAGATTTTGAATGCAATCCATGACTGCCTAAGTATATGTATACATTGTGCAGCTAATTAGCAATTATGAACGTGCTTAAGTGCTTGTAGAAATATATGTATCGCGTCACTGATCGCAAGCAGTGTGATGCTAACACACAATGCTTTAGAATATTAACATTGGCTGCTGTTTGATTTTTAAAACGTAATTATAAATGATATAATTGAAGTTCTTTTAAAAAAACATTTTCCTTTGGAAAAGGGTACCTAGTTCTTTTCAAGGTCCGTGGTGCCAATGCTGTGTTCTTTTATTTTTATTAGCTGGGAAAAGTAGACCAAGAATTCTACAAAGATAGTGACCTGTTTTTAGGAGCCACCATCAATGTGTGGGGAAGGAAGGTGCTCCTCTGTGACTGTGATGAATTTACGAAGTCTTACTATAAGAGTAAATACGGAATTGGTAAGTAATATGTATGCCAGGTAAAATCATACTTTAAAACTTGGTTTCCTGCTGAAGATTTTCCTCTGGAGGTTCATGTTACACTCAAAATTACTACCATTTGTTCTCCAGCTTCTGTCTTTGAGGCATTTCTTGTCGTATCTATTCCTAACAACAGTTTTCTATGGATAGGCTCATTATTCCTGTTTAAGAGGTGAAGAACCTAACGCTTAAAGGGCTCATTTGTCCAAGGTCATGCAGCAAGCAGAGAGTTAGCCAAGAGTTGATCTTGTCTGACTAGTCCCATGGGCTTTTGTTTTCCTTAAACCTCACTATCATATGGGGTTATCAGAATATTTTGGTTGGGCAATTGAAATTAAACTCTAAATCTGTTTTCTTCACTTATTTCTTTCTACTTGAGTTCATTTGCTAGAGAATTTTCTTTGTGCCAATTTGTTCTACCTTTCCTGGTAGGGCTCAGTCAGGTTTTCAACTGTTCTTTTTATAGATATCAATTCCATTTTACTCCAGTTAATTCAGTTCTGAATGAAAATGAGTGATTTATCAAGCACCTACTATATGTAGGTCACTGCACTAGACTTAGGTGATACAGAGTTATATAAAAGATTTCCAGGTAGAAGTGGAGTTGGGACCCACAGCATGTCACATGGTGTTATGAGAGTCTAGAAGCAGGTGAGAACGTGATAGCAAATCAGAAATCCAATCTTTTACTTGACAGATTTCCATTTTCAGTCTCCTGCGTATCTGCCAGTCAGCTCTACTCCCTTCCTAGGCCTTCCACCCAGGCCCTGGGTCCCTGCGGCTGTTGGGAGTTGAGGAGCTTGCTGCCGTGATTGGGTTTCAGAGCTGAGGTGTGGGTACTTAGTTCTATCCAGTCATCCCTTAGTATCCTGGGGGCATTGGCTTTAGTCCCTTTCCCCAAAGTCTGAGGGTGCTGAAGTCACTGATGTGGAATGGTAGAGCATTTACAGAAAGCCTTACATACTTCTTCCTGTATGCTTTCCTTCTTTTAAATTTTTAAGACAGGTTTTCACTAAGTTGCTCAGGCTGCCCCCACCCCCAAGTAAATAGGATTGTAAGCACAAGCCAGTCTGCCTGGTGACTTTATATCATTTTCAAATTACTTATGATACCCAGTATAATGTAAATGCATGCAAGTATTGTTGTACTGTATTGTTGAGGGAACAATGACAAAAAAGTAGTGTTCAATACAGAGAGCTTCTTTATTTCCCTCCCTGAATCTTTTCAATCTTTGCTTGGTTTTATTTGAGCATGGGAACTCACAGATCCCATGGGTTGACTGCACTTCCTTGTGAACCTTGGACTATTCATATGGGCACATTTCCTGGCGGGGTGAGGTGGAGGCCAGACACATGCGCAGCTTGTTAGACAAGGACTTTCTTGTCTATAACAAGAGGAGGCCTACCTTCTGTGTTTTGGTGCAGTGCTGTAGGTAGAGTTCCTGTCGCTTCGGTGGTCCTTCAGTGCAGTGGGGAGACCACTCAATGCAATTTGTGTAAGCAGTCATGTGGCTAGAGACACTGCTGCGTGCAGATGCACATAGGAAACCTTAGCTTAAGATCAAATATAGTTCAAAAGAACTATAAGGTATTATTGTTATCATTTTTCTTTTTGCGAATAATGCTGCCCAAAATACGTGCCAGCTGGGGCAGGGCCCCTCCTCCCCATTTTAGTGTCCCCATTGTGTGGCATTCCTGGCCTCCTGGAAATCTTTATGCTGTGAGAAAAGGCACACAAAGGGGTTAAAACAAAAAACTTTGTTTCACTTGTAGGTTCATTAAGGGAATTATTTCCAGTGCATCTGCATGCCAGATCAGTTAAGATGTGTGGGCGCTGTAGGGGCTGCATTGGTGGCCTCTTCTTATTTTCTAAAATTGATCCTCTTTGGTGGACAATTGCGCATATTTGCTTTGGTGGTACAGGTGTGTCTTTGGGAAGAAGAATTTGGCCTGTAGTAAATGCAGATGCCTGTTTCGACCCAATATGTCTTCCGTACAGATTGAAAATTTGATGCTGTGCCACTGAAAACTGTAACTTTCATCTGAAGATCACCTTTACATGAAGGGTGTGGTGGAAGAGTACCTTTATGTAAAGGATCTGGGAAAGATTTCCAAACATTAGGTAATTGCTTCAACACGGAGTCTAACTGTGGTTGGTATTTGTCAGTTTGATTTTGACAAAACAAAATTTGCATTTGGGAAGATGAATGTCATTACCGGCATGACTTGGTATATTGTTTGTGTCTTACCAACTTCTACAGGGAATTTTCTGAGGCAGCGTGAGTCCTCTGGTGAGCTCCACATCTGGCTGTCCTGGGTAGATGCATCAGCCTGAAATGCATTTTGGTTGAGTCCCGGTGCTTAATTTTCCATCCACTTCTTTTGATCATTATATATATTTACTGTATTATGTTTTTTTTTTTTTTTTTTTTTTTTTTAAATTTTTTTTTTTATTTTTAGTTTTGGTTTTTCTCCGGTACCGGGAACTGAACTCACAACCTTGCGCTTGCCAGGAAGGCACTTTTGCCGCTGAGCTAAATCCCCATCCCCCTGTATTATGTTTTTAAAAAGTTAGTCTGTGTCTTTAAAGCTAATGTAACATGAGCGTTATACATTTAAACAGAAAATTATGCAAATGCAAAATTATGCTGCATTTCATAGTCACTGACTTTTTATATTTTTTACAACATATGTTAAAGTACCCTATTTAATAAGACTATTGTACAATGTCTTGAGTTAACATTGTACTTAATGTAAGTAATGGCTAGAAATTATATCTGATGGAGTGGAGGGAAGTGAGAAATACTCTCAGATAATCTTTACATTTGCTTTTTTATTTTTTTGATAAGGCTAAATTAATATACTTAATGTTACTTAGATAGTTGTTTCTGGCATTTAAAAATTTTGAGTCAATTTTGAGTCCCTGTTTTTCACTAATTTCTTCAGCATGTTGCTAAAAGCAATAAGGATGAAAAAATTCTTAGTGTGTAACAGTTGGCCTAAGCATTTAAAATCAATTTAAATGAACACTTCATTCAATATTATTGTGTTGGTGGGGCTTGCATTTTTTAAAATTATTAATGTGGGTTTAAAAGGTTGTAAGACAGTATAAATTTTATCCATTTTGCTTTGGTTGTGCATGGACTGGCAGGTGGAGGCCATGAATAATCGTGTCCTGTCAATAATTACAGTCACATTTTCTCCCTTGTCAGTTACTGTAGTCAGTAGAATACTTTCACGTTGTCACTGTGTAGCGAGCAGGAAGGAGCTGACAGGTGCCAACACAGTCAGCGACCTGTGTTTCAGGTAGCCAGGGGCAGATTGCTAATGCATATTCAGCCTTGATGCTTTAGATCCTGATGGCACCCCAGCTTGTTTCGGGGAAAGAAAAAGTGTCAGACAAATAGGAGTTGCCCATAGTCCCAAGAAAGGTGCATAGCTATCCTTTCTATTTATGTCGAAGCTAGGGCTTAATAGAATTCTGAGACACTTGAGTCCCTGTGTGGAACCCAATCTGGTTTTCAAAAAGATACAATTCTTTCAGCTGGGTGTGGTGGCACATGCCTGTAGTTCTAGTACTTGGGAGGCTGAAGCAGGAGGATTGTGAATTCAAGGGCAGCGTGAGTTTCGTAGTAGGAACTTGTCTCAAACCCCACCTTTCCCTGCAAAGAAAAGAAAATCTGTTCTTTCTTTCTGTCTGTCTGTCTGTCTGTCTGTCTGTCTGTCTTTCAAGACAGGGTCTTGCCATGTAGTTCAGAACAGCCTTGAACTCACCATGTAGCCTGGGGTGGCCTCAAACTCAGTGGTGATCCTCCTGTTTCAGCCTCTCAAGTGCTGGGATTTCAGATGTGTGCCACCAACACCCGGCTCTTCCTTTATGTATTTAAAATTTTTTTTGTTGCCCTTTTTTTGAGACAAGATCCTGCTACATACTTCAGGATGACCTCAAACTGACGTTGATCCTTCTGTGTCAGCCTCCTGAGTGCTGGGACTATAGGTATATATCACTACATCCTTCTTAAAAATTCTAAGGGCTGTTTGATTCCATAGATATAATCACAGCCCAGTATGACTGTTCCATTAGGCAGCTTAGCTATCATGATGGGCCGTACGTGCCATTTCCTTAGTATCTGATGTGGTTGAGAATGGATTGACAGATGGAGGCCTATAGGTCTTTTTGTAGGGTGAAGGTTGGAAAAGGCTCCAGGGTTTCATCAAGCCTTTCTTCTACTAAAGTCAGGGATTTGAATGTACTCAGCTTGAGTAATTTTTTTTTCTTTCTTTGTCTTGTTTTCCTTTTCTGTCTTTTGTTGTTGTTAATACTGGAGCTTGATCCCAGGGCCTCACTCCTTAGGCAAGCACTGTACTACTGAGCTACATTCCCAGCCCTTCTTTTTTGTATATGTTTGAGAAAGGGTGTCCCTAAGTTGCCACATGGCATTGATGGACCTAACAATTATGCTTCTGTAATTTTCCCTATATAACAAAGATGGTTGCTGGTTAGATGATTCCTAGGGACTTCAGAGCTCTAAGGTTGTGTGGTTCACTATTTTACTCCCCAAATAAGTTTTTCACTGAAATTGTTTGAACTAGGTGTTTGTATAAGCAGAGGCAGATTTATCTGGAATGAATTACAATCTTTAGATTTCTTCCTTTGCAAGAGTCCTAGCCTATAGTCTTAAGTTAATTTTGTCTTAATAGTTTACCATTCTTTGTCTTAAAGAGCTTCTTTCAAATTAAGTAGCATCCAGACTTCCCAAAGCCTGGATCAATCTCTGTGTCACTAGGACAAGGGCTGAACTTTGAGGTAATTGAAGGCTTTTCCCAGTAGTGCTTCCAACTGAGATGATGAATAGAAAATCACCATGAAGGAGCAGTAAGACTTCAAAGACAGTCAGTTTGTCATTCAGATGTGGGCCCATTTCGTGGTGAATTATGCAAATGACGTGGAGCAGTGTTATTTAAAGTTGGATTCTGAGCCAGGTTTCCAGTGATCTGTGTGGTGGTAGAAAAGTCAGGGGTGATGGAGTGCAACGGTTCTCAGATTTTATACACTAGATGGCACTGTGGGTGCAGAGGAAAACTAAATTGGTTCTTTTGTTACTTAAATCTAATGGAAAAATTAGGTAGTTGAGCAAACAACACTTACAAAGCCTGTGATGTGGGCTGGGGGGATGTATAGAATATATTTTTAATTACATTGCAATTTAGTGCGTTCTTTCTTTTGGTTAAGACTGCTCAGATTGGTACATAGACCATCTGTCTCCTCTTGTAGAAAGTGCTGGTGCCCCAGTCTTGTACTAATCATGTAGAGCCTTCCTCCCGCATGCATGGCTCTTGTCCTGAAATGACAGACCATGATGTGTTTGATGTGATGGTGAGCACAGTGGAGCCTGCTGCAATTCTCATTCCAAGATTCGAGCTTTCTTCTCGAGTCTTCTCTTTAATCACGCCAAAAATAGCAGGGGAGAGGCTCACAAAGTCTGTAAGGGCATGCTGGCTACCCCTTCTCCCCGAGCCAGTGGAGAAAGATTTGATGGCATGTTCTCTCTGTCAACGTGTATTCGGCGAGCACTTTCTGTTAGGGTGGAATAGTACTCTTGGGGATTGTGCTTGGGGAAGTTTCACACAAAGGCTGCTAGGAAGTCTGAGAAAAGGTAAAAGCTGAAAATGTTTGCAAGTCAGTGTGAGAGATGGCTGTAAACTCAGGCTTTTGATAAATCAGTTTTTAAAAAAACCCACCTCACCCCCTTTTGTTTTTCTTTTTTTACGGTTTGATTGTCTTGGGTGACGAATTGATACCATTTTCTGTTATGGTGGTGCGCACTAAAATTTGTGCTCAGATTTGTCCCTTTCTTCTCTTAGAACTTTGAAAGTAGAAAAGGCAGTCTTTGCTTGTGTAGGACACCTTCCACAACTGAAACGCCTGTGACATACTCCAGCCTGGGGAAGAAGTGGAAAGTGGGTATTATGTGTTTGGTTTTGTTTTGGAAAAGAACCTGCTGGCTTCTTTGCTGTTTGTGGTGGGGCAAACACAGTGACTTAGGTAGGCCAGGTCAGTCTGTCAGTTGTTCTGGAAAGCACAGTTTCTCAGAGATTGCGCAGCCTTGCAAATGAGTACGCAAGAGCTTCTAGGCTACCGCACATCAGTTCCAGGTTTCTCTCCACCTCTGCTTCCTCACAGAGGGCAATAATAAAGAAATGCAGTCAGTAGTATTTACCAGTGAGCATTGTCCTCAAGAGAGTGGACAGTTGGGTATTTTACAAGTGTTCATTGTTTTTGGTTTCTTTGTTTTTGCTTCCTTACATTTGAGTCCGGTTACAGTCTTTCCATGGGTGTGAGAGGAGTGGCCTTGAGCAGGGGTTGGTGAGAAGCAGAACATTTTCTTTTTCCGTTGGTTTTTGAACGGACTAGTGAAGTAGCCTGTCCTCTAGTTGAATTGGAGGCAAAGGAGGGAGCTGTAAAAGTCGGTCTTGGAGGAGAAGCTGGCAGATAAGGAAGGGGAAAGGTGAAATAGTCAGGAATCGTTCCTATTTGGAAAAGAATTCTATTAGCGAGTGCTGACTGAAGGTAGGGGAGGGCTAAATTACAGGTTAAAGTATGGAATGGGTGGCATAAAGTTTCACGTTTGAATTTTTGTATCATTGGAAAAATCGGGAAGAACAAATAATTCAGAAATGGGGATGTGATGACAAAAGATAAATGTTTACTTATTTGACACAGATTTTTGTTTTGTTTCGAACCAATGGCCATTATTAAGCTCTGCGGTTTTTGTAAATGTGATTGAAACCTACTCTCTCAGAGGATTTTGTTGTTTTGTTTGAGTTTAAAATAGTCTACAAAGATCTCCATGTTCATGTTCAAATCATAACAACCCTTTCAAAACAGCCATAATCAGGGCGAAAAAAACAATATTGATGTTTTGTTTGCCTTTGTTTTGTTACAGAGAACTTTACTCCCGTTTCATGCAAGCCACCTCCTCCTCCAAAAATAGAAAGGAAATTTCCACCTTACACTGGCTTTGGGTCTGAGGAGGACTCTCTCCGTTCCTGCCTATCCCTCAAGCCTGTGCCTTACGTGAAGAAGTTGCTGAAAGAAGACAGGTACTTATGGGGAAACATGATTTTAGTCCTGTCTTTCCCAAATGTGTTTGGGGCTTATGACATAGCCCTCGTGGTGAAACAGGTGTCACACAGCTCAGCTGATCTCAAGTTGCAGTACACATTGTTGTAGCTTTTTTTTAAATTTTGTTTTTGTTTTTTTCCGGTACCGGCAATCGAACTCACAACCTTGCGCTTGCCAGGCAGGTGCTGTGCCGCTGAGCTAAATCCCCAGCCCCTGTTGTAGGTTTTTAGTGAGGCTGATTAGTGGGTAGTTATTGCGCTATTCTTACTTCAGTGCTTATTTAAGGGTGTTGTTCGGAGGGCCTCAGAATCACATTACTGACATTCTGTGTTGCCTTTCATCTCCTTTTATCTTTCCATCTCCTGATCATAGTTCCTAGAAAATGATGTGGATGAAGAGTCAGCAAACTTAAAGGGTCACTTAGGAAATACTTTTGGCTGTGTGGGTCATGCCATCTCTGTCACAAACACTCAGATGTGCCGTTGTAGTTTGGAAGCTGTCATAGAATGTTAACATGTATAACTGTGTTTCATTGGAACTGTTTTTATGGACACTAACATTTGAATTTCATGTAATTTTTAGCTATCACACAATATTATTCTTTTGATCTGATTTCAACCATTTAAAAAGGTTAAAACCACTTACCTCACAGGCCATACACACACAGGTGGCTGGCTGTATTTGGCCCAGTGACTGTGACTTGCCAACCCCTGATAGAGAGATTTGAACAGTTTCTGTTTTTCAAAATGGTATTTTGGCAATTAATGTTATTTTGATTTGAGAGGTTTGGTTGAATTCAGCAATAGTAGATTGTTTCTATGGTTCAGTATAATTTCAAAAAATGGATTTTCCAAAATACCCCTAATAAACCTGTGGCAAAGTGTGCCTCTTGAGCGACCCATTATAGAATGTGATCTCTGGCCAATGGTACTTTCGGCTTCTTCAGGAAGAGCAGGCCTTGGAGAAAGGAGTCAGGGAAAAGCTGTGGTGATATATTGCAGATGATTGAATATGATGCAGACTATAAATTGTAGTCCTGTGTGAGGAAGATAACAGGTCGGAGATCCTAGGGAGAGAAATGATAAAGGGCATGAGACTAGAAGGAGGAGTAGAAAAGGTAGCATCCAGTCACATTCAATGCGGTCACCTACTGTTGTCGAACCTTTGAAGGAGAGAGAAAAATGGTTGTGCTGTCTCTATAAAATGGTTGAAATCTCTTATTGAGAGTTGTACAGAGTGTTGGAAAGTCTACTTTTGCCATCACATAATTTGTTGATGTTCAAGAAACAGCCTTTAATTGTAAGGACTTGAGAGTTTTATTTAAGGCATGGCCTCAGTGCTACTCAAAGTGTGATCCTTCTGCTTGTGAGAAACGCTAATTATTGTGCCGCCCTCTGACCTGCTGAGACAGAAGCTTTGGGAGTGTGGTTCAGCACTGTGTTTCATCGGCCCTCAGGGCGCTGCTTTTTATCACGTGACAGGGACACCAACTTACTCGCCATCCTCCCTTGTTGAAGACAGTGTTTATGATGAGGGTGCAGGCTTGGGCTTTCCATAGATGCTTTTCACTAATGGCTGATTTTAAGGGCAGCCACCTGAAGGAGCTGGGCAGGAAGATAGGCCTTATTGTAAAAGCAGAGAGAAGTTTCTTATAAGTAAACAAGGTGAAGTGGTATTCAGAGTGTTGCTTCTGGAACCCAGGGAAACGCAGTTCTTTGTGAGTAGTTGACTTAGTCTCTCTTTCTGTCTGCCCTATAACACTCGCCCAAGAACCCTGAGTTTAGACAGCGTTCTACACTCCTGTTGTGCTGCCGTGGCTGAAGGATGGTGGTATAGCCATAAATGTCCCTAATTGTCTTTCTTTTTGTCCACTGCTCAGTCTGTGCCAGGAATACACTTCCCTCAAGCTCCTCCCACACAGTGACCTTGTTGTTTCCATAGTAACTGCACATTCGGCTGGAGACTCATACATGAGTTTGAATGAACCACGGTTTCAAAAATGTGAGAACCTATGGAGAATGCTCTCACAAAGCATACAAAAGATAGTTTCTTAACGCAGATAAGGAAACTGAACTGGGACTTGAAATTGTATATGACTTTCATTGGTCTTACTTATTTCTGTTAAAACGAATTTACTGAGTGCTATTGTTAGGAGGTTAATGCTGTCTACTATGAGTCATTGGAAGAAATCATTTCTAATTAAAGCATATAAGGTTTTTGATGGTCATGGAGATCTTTATTGTCTGAGTAAACTTCACTGTAGTGGCTTGCTGGGCAGATTGTCTAATCTTACTTGGGAGAACCAGAATAATCCCCTTCTCACTGCATTGTGCTGAGTTAGTTTTACTTTGTGTGCCTACTCTGCTGATTATACCTCCATTAATATTACCAGCATACTTAGTGGTTACTGTGCATGAACTATTTTATAATATTTCATGTCACTTAATCCTTAAAAGAGCCTTGGCAATGTACATAAGATTATTATTCCTGTTCTCTCATAAGTTAACTGAGGCCCAGAGAGGCCCTGAACTGCTCTGAGCTAACACAACTAATTTGTAGTTGAACTTGGGTTTGAATCCAGGGAAGTCTGACTTCTGTAGTTCACCTCCCCCTTCTCCCATGGTGTGGGGATTACTTGTTTATGTAATCTGTGGGCTTCCCCAGACCCTGAGGTCCTTGAGTTTGGGGACTGGCTCTATTGTTTCCCTAAGAGAACATTGCTGGCTATGTACTTAGGGGCCAATAAATGTTTTGTACAGTAGGAAAAGGAGCAGATAAATAATTGAGCACAGCAAATAGAATAAATATTCACTGGTCCGTTTTGTAATGGTGGCTGGAAGGTTCACATGACTTCCATTAGGAAGGCTATTATCCAGTACTTGTGCTATTCACGACTGTCAGCCATCCAGAAATTCATGGTTTAATCTTAGTCTCTCACTTGTTCCAGGTATTGTCCATTTGTCATCCCCATCAGTCATCTGCCCTCTTTAAAATCTTTTCCCCATCAATACAAATGAGCCTTGGTGTACATTTCTGCCACAAGACCTAGTAGCTGTAGGTAGTTTTAAGCTTTTTAGTAGATGTGTAGCTTTGCTTGAGCCATGCTTGTCTTTTAAGTCAACAGCTATTTCCTGAGCTCTGAATTAGGTGCTTGTGATATATTGGTAAACAAAACAGATGCGAAGCCATGCCTTCATAGAACTTCCATTGTGGGTGTGGGAAGCACACAATAAGATTAAGATAATACGCAGGAACCTTAGGCAGTATTTAGAAGGTGTTAAGTACCATTGGCCAAATAAGAAGATACTAAGTTGCTTCAAAAAGGATGAAAGGGATGAACAAACACCTCCAGGTGCGATTTCGAGCATTCATTCATTCATTCATTCATTTGCAGTATATGGATTGAACCCAGGGCCTTCCACTGAGTTACCTTCCCAGTCCTTTTATAGTTTTTTTTCTAATTTTGAGACAGTGTCTTGCTAAACGGCCAAGTTGCCGAGGCTGGCTTTAACTCAGCAGCCCTCCTGCCTGTGCCTCCCAGAGTGCTGGGATTCCAAGCATGTACCACTATACCCACTATGGTTGTCATTTATATAGTGTGTTTTGATGGACTTTGCTGAGGAGAGGAAACATGTTCCCAGCAGCACTAATAGTCAGTGTCAAGGCCCTTAGCAGGAAGCATGCTTGGGATGTGCAGGAACCGTTCAGGAGGCCAACATAGAGTAGTGAGCAAAGGGCTGAGTACACAGAGATTATGTAAGAGGAGCAGCAAGATGTGATCAAAGAGGGCCTTCAAAACCATTATAAGGACTCTGACTTTGAATGATATTGAGGGGCCACTGGGAGGTGTGAGCAGGGATGTGACTTGATTTGTGCTGTGGCTTTTTTTTTTTTTTTTTTTTTTTTTTTTTGGTTTTTTTGAGAGAGGGTCTCGCTATGCAGTTGAGGCTGGCCTTGAGCTCACTTTGTAGCCCAGGCTGATCTTGAACTCGCAATGATCCTCCTGTCTCAGTCTCCTGAGTGCTGGGATTACCAGGCATGCGCCACCACGCCTGGCTATATTTTAAAAGAAAACAGATGTGCTTGCTAGTGCATTTTGGAGGCTGAAGCAGAAGGATTGCAAGTTTGAGCCCACCTTAAGCAATTTAATGAGACTGTGTCTCAAATATCAGTCATTCAATCAAGCAGTCAGTCAAACTAATGAAAGAACAGGCAGGGAATATAGCTCCGTGTAGAGCTTCTGGGTTCAATACTCCGTACTGGAGAGGAAATAAAAAGGATCCCTTCGATGCAGTGTGGAGAGTAGCCTGCTAATAGGCATTGGTGGAATTCAGACCAGTTAGAGACTACTGCAGTAGTCCAGGAGCTGAGTTACAGCAGCTCCAGTTAGGGTGAGTGTAGTGGAAGTGATGGAATTCAATAGTGGATTCTGGAAATAATTTGAGGGTAGAAGCAAATAGTGTTTTTGACAAATGGAATAGGAGGTGTGAAAATAGTGAGGTGTCTGTCAGGGTTTGGGCAAGAGCATCTGCAAGAGTGGAGTTACCAGCCACCGAGACTGGTAAAACTACTAAGGTTTATGGGCAGGAGAAGTTTAGTTTTAGAACAAATAAAGTTTGAGATTTCTATTAAATGTCAAGATACTGGTTAGGGTGGGCTTCAGGTGAGGTCTGAGCTGGAGTTACAAATTTGGAAGTCATCAGTACATACTGTTCCATAGTATTCATGATCCCAAATGGTACTAAAGCCTCAAGGATTAGAGGCCATCAGTGAAGTAGAAATGCATAGAGAGGAGCATGACTCAGTATTGGATTGGAGGCCGGGTGTGGTGGCACCCGCCTGTAATCCCAGCACCCAGGAGGTGGCGGCAGGAGGATTGCTGTGAGTTCAAGGCAGCCTGGGCTACAAAGTGAGTTCAAGGCCAGCCTGAGCTGTGCAGTGAGACTCTGTCTCAAAAAGAAATAAAAAGAAAAGAAAAAAAATTGGATTAGAAAAGAAAGGAAGAACCATGAAAGGGGACTAAAAAGGAGTAAATAAGTACTAGGAAGGAGCAAACCCGAGAGAATATATAGTCCTGAAAGCCAAGTGAATCAAGAGTAACCCAGTAAAGCTGGGCATAGTAGTGCATACCTATTATCCCAGCACTTGGGAGGCTGAGGCAGGAGAGTCACCATGAGTTAGAGGCCAGCCTGCACCACATAGTGAGACCCCGTCTCAAAAAACAAAAAAAGTGTATTCCAGCAAAATGAAGTGGTTATTTGTGCCAGTTGCGGAAGCTTGTGAATTAGGTATGGACAGCGACATTAAGCACTGTCTTAGCATTGTCATTGTTGACCTCTACAAGAGCAGTTTAGGTAGAGTAACCGTAATGGAAATGGATTTCAGAGAAAATAGGAGAAGAATTTGAGGCAGTGATTATTTCTAACTGAACTGTATGTAGAAAAGTTAAGATATGGCTTCTGGATCTCAAAGTTTATAATAATTTGTTTTGAAACAAGGAGAATAAACACATTTTTGAAACAGCCAAACTGAGAGAAATGCATGTAGTGCTTAATTGGGGGCATTGTGTGGTGGGTGCATGAGGTATGAGTGGGTGAGCAGCTGGGAGGGCAGAGGATACCGATGAGAAGGTCGATAACTAGCGTGCATAGTCAAGCAAACACCTGAAGGCACTTGTAGTGTTTCTTGCGTTGAGCTCTGGGGTCCACGCCATCAGAATCTCCGGGGTGCTTATTAACAATGCAGGTTTCTGGAGATGCAGGCTAACTACCAAGTTAGTGTCTTTCGGGATGGGACTCTGAATTCTGCATATTTAACAAGCTTCCCGGATGATTTTTATACACAGTAAATTTTGTGAACCACTAGTCTAAAAACTTTACTCAGTAGATTATATTCCAGATTGGTGAGATCTCTAGAACACAAGAATTATGTGAAAAATTGTATGTTGAAAAGTCCATCCTTAGCACATATACTTAGAAATTTATGTACGTGCTAAGAAGTTAAACTTATAGTGGTATTCATTTGCCCTGGATCCGACCTCATTCAGTTATTGCAATGATATTTCAGGCATCTGAAAAGTTATGTGTCTTTCATGAAAGGGATTGCTGAGTCTATGTGTTAGTTGCTGGTCCAATTATGTACCAAAGAAGATGGTTGAGAAAGTATAGCTGCCCCAGGTCCTGGGAACTAGGCACTAAGAAAACAGAGCTGTGGTGCTCCGGCTGTCTTGCCCAACTGCCTTGGGCTAGCCTCACAAACTGCTGAGCTCTGTCTCCCATGACGCCTCAAGCTGGGAATCTTGGCCCTATGCTTTCTCAGCCCAGCTTCTGCAACAATCCAAGCAAAGGGTGGAGAAAAGCACTTTCTGCCTCTGCAAGTCAAAAATACTGTGTGTATTTTTTTTTAAAATCACCGTGAACACAGAGCTTGAATGTCAGCTTAGGAGACTCTATAAGTGGGGACCACTCTGCCTGGTGTTGTGACAGGAAGTGAGGAAGGAAATAGTTGATTTTATTGTGTGCCTCCTTTGGATAATGATTTTGATTATTAAAGACCTCACCATGGGCTTAACTGTTATAAGGTCCTTGTTTCACTAGCTGGTGTCTGCAGACGTGATTCTGCTGAGAGAGCATAAGGTCATTTCTCCACTGAGCAAGCAGTCAACTTTGGGAACTCGTAATTCTGCAGTTGGATCCTATCTTCAGCCTACTATTCATGCATAAAGTTTTAAGTGCAATTTCAAATGCATACGGGCATAACTTTCTACAAACATTTATTGAATATGTACTTACTAGGTTAAAAGGTGTTCTACAAGCAATGGTTAGTAAGATACCGTGCTTCTCTTTGGAAAATAGACTTAAACTGGGTACTTAGAATACAGGTGCTAAGAGGTATAAAAAGAGGTGTGTCTATAGTATTTGTCCCTGGAAGGGACTGGGGAGTGATGCTGGGGAGGTGGAGAAGAGATTGAGGAAGGGAGGATGTTGGCTGCGAGGCAGAAAGGCCATGGGCATGAGGCAGTGGGCGGTAAGACAGGGAGGTGGCCATAGGCACAGGTAGCGCACACGCTCTAGATTGGCTCCGGCCGCAGGGTTAGCACTTGTGCTTCTGTCTGGCGTGATCATTGTGACTGCCAAGCAGCTGGCCGTGTTTTCAGAGAACAACCAACTGGTGTGGCTGGTTTGAGCAGTGTGTTTGTGACATTGCATTGGATCTACTTTTCCAGTGTGCTGTTCAGGACATGTAGAGAATAAGAGGTATTTAAACACACTGAGGAAATCTCTCAGTATTTAGATTTAGAATCTTACTAAGATGGGTGGATCCTTTCACTTTGGAAAGTTGAAGCTCCTGTATTAAATCCGTAGCATATACCTTTTTGCAGATATTTTCAACATACTGGATCTGTGGAAGACTACTTGTATAATATTCTATCCCTTGTTTCTCTTCTGTTTAGCTATGGCAACATAGGCAATGTACTCCGTTTTTTTGCAAGACTAATCACAGCCAAATGTGCTGATGCAGACAGGATATTCGTTATTTCATATTTTCTCAATGATGGCACACTTTCAGTGTTTGAACCTATAGAGAGGAATTCAGGTAAGAGACGTCACTCATAGTATTTTCCTCGGAACATTGAATCATCATTTTGAAAATTAGATAATGTGTTCTAATTTTATAGCTTAGTTGGTCTACCATAGTGCGTGCGTGCGTGTGCATGTACGTGCATGTGTGCGTGTGTTAACCAGCATACTATATGTCTTTTCACAAAGATACCTGAAGTGGGGATCCAAATACGTAAAATGTTGAACAAGGAACAGTTGTGGTTGTCTCAGCCCCATGGTAAGTTCCCTCTGCCACTGTCCACTCCTTCTCTGTAGTCTTTGAGGTTCTTCTGTGGAACTCAAGGGTTTCAGCATTGTGAGCTGGCTGCTACCAGTCCTACTGTCAGCCAGCAAACCAAAAGAAAATTCGTGTTCTTGGTAGTCCTGCTTACAGAATTGTTGCTTGAGTAGAAAGCAAGGATCCCACATACACAGATTTAATCTTCAGGAGCCATCTTTCTCGGTCTCTGTCTTTGTCTTTTGAGACTTATTTCAAAAGCTATAGTCCCTCGGTCTGTGGAATGCTGTCCATAGCCATTGCTGATGAGATTCACTGACTTACTAAATAACAGAACTTCAGTGATACCTCGATTCATGAATTCAAGTTTTCCACGATCTGGTCACAAACTGAATTGGATGTGAACACAATCAAATTCAGTGGTTAGGACCAATGTTGACCTTTAAGGGGAAATTTGATTGGGTACTTGTCCCATTTAGTTTGTGACAAGAAACGTGGAAGGTATTAAGTTCATGAACTGAGGTACCACTGTGTAGGGTACTCTTTTCTTTATCTTGACCATGTTTACAACTTCTTTTTTTTTTTTTGGACATTCTGAGACAGGGTCTCGCTATGCAGTTGAGGCTGGCTTTGAGCTCACTTTGTAGCCCAGGCTGGTGTCGAACTCACAGCTCGCAATGATCCTCCTGCCTCAGACTCCCGAGTGCTGGGATTACAGGCATGTGCTACCACATCTGGTTTACAACTTTTTTTTAAAAGAAAAAAAAAATTCAAAATTTCAAAACAAGATAATAGGGTAGCAATGGTTGATACATTGCTATTTGTTATCTTTGACTTAGTTACTCACAGTGCAAGATATAGGCCTTTAATTGTCCAAACAGTATTAACATAAACCTTTTATCTGTGCTAAAGACACATATTTGGGAAAAATACTCAGTGATGTGCTGGTTAACCAACTCTTTGACAAAAGTGTAAGAGCTTTGACTGATACTGTTTGCCAATTTTCATGGTGGGGATACTCCAATCATGACCAGTTGCAAGAAGCCCAGTGTAACACCTGGCTTGCAAAATCCCTGAAAATTTAATAGTCAGTTCCTGTGAGCTAGTATGAGCCACTTAGCACACCCATGAGTATTGAATAATTTGTATAAGTAAGTCAGGCACCACAGTGGTTTGAATAGTAGAAAGTCTTAAAATAGGAAAATCGAATAGGGATGAATGTGTTGTGTAAAACATCAACTCGGTACAGCTAAAGTGGGGAAAGTGATGCCCAGCAAATTGCAGCATGTGTAAGACAGAAGGGAGATGGTGCCGATCAATTACCAGCTTTTAATAATGGCAGCCATCACTGAGGCCCTACTATTTTCCTTACTTTTCAAGGTTAAATTTTGTGCTTCACTACGAGACCCTCCAAGAAGAAGCAAATGCTGAGCAGGATTAAATATGTGAGAGATTTATTAGGGGCAATGCTAGTAAGGGAAAGCATGCAGGGGACCAAAGGAGAGTGGAGAGCTATCAGACTGCAGTGCAGTTCTGACTCTGACCTCAGGTAGAGGGAAGGAAGAAAGAGGAGGTCTTCGAGTGTCTGCGAGGCTGAGCCAAGTTGCTACATGGAGGAGCCCTTGTCTTTGCAGGAGGGAGCCTTTAGAAAGCATGGCCTTTGCACACAACTGAGGATGGATCTCAGCACGAGGCAGGTGGAGCCTGCCATCACTGGTGTTCCTCACACAGTGGGTGATCTGAGAAGGACCCCTCCCACACACAGATATTGTTCCCCATTTTACCAATGCGAGTTCATGGAGGATCAGAGAAGTTAGCTCATCGAGTAGGCAGTGACACAGCACAGATGGAATAAAGCTCTGTTTGGCTCCAAAGCCTGTGTCTTTCCAACACTTGTGATGTCGGAATATGGTGGCAGGAGTGTGACGAAGCTGACTGCCAAAGCTCGTCTGGTCTCAGGTTGTATTCGTAGGTACTGGAGGCTCCTGTTCGCCTCTGCTTGCTGTTTTCCAAGAGGTCGCAAAACACATAATGCCTGGAAGAGAACAGATGAAATGATGAGGATTCTGGAAAATAAAAAATATGTGGGAAAGCAAAGATACTTTACCTGTAGGAAAAAATGAGTTAGGCACCCTCTATAGTTGTCTTCAGACACTTCAGTAATCACCTGTATAGACCTTTTTACCCTTTAATCTGCATGTCAGGTTACTTGCAAGACAAATAGATGTGAGTAAGCACAACTGAATTTTCTAAGTGATTGTTCAAACAGACTTAAAGGATGATCAACCTCAGATGTGCCACACCCCCAGGGTGCTGCAGGGCAAGAGTGCAGGTCCTTGCTGAGCGTTTATTGGGCTAGGAAGGGAGAAAGGAAAGAAGGAAGAAACTGGAATACCAAAGGCCTTTTTTATTTAACACATTTACCTAGAAGGTCTTTTTTCCTCACCCACTGCCTGCTTCTTCCCTGAAGTCAGTAAGACTGCACAGATAAATAAGTTGTACGGTCTGGATCTGAGGATGGAGTAACTCTAAAGACAAGTCCTGGCTCTTCTAAGAATAAAGGATACCCATAGACTGTTCTGTTTTCCTACAGGGTACACTGGTGGGTTGTTCTTGAAAAGAAGTCGTGTGAAGAAGTATGGGCAAGAAGTCTTTAAAAGTGAGTTCTCAGAATATATCCAGGTCGAGGAGCTGTATATTGGAGCCAAAGTGAACGTGAACGGCTACCTATTTGTTTTGCTCAGTGCCGATGAGTACACCTTAAACTACATGGAGAAGAACGTGGACAAGGTGAATTTACTTTGTATAGTTCTTGACTTGCCTCGCAGCCCCTGCAATGTGTTTTTCTCCAGGGCTTTTTCTTCATCTTGCCACTGGTTTTACATTGTGCATTCACACATGTGGGCATGAATAATGGATCCGAGTGACTTGGCCACAGGTCCCATCGCAGAGGCCAGGTCCTTGTCTCCTCTGTTTACACGCTTGGCTCTCCACTGCCCGGCATCGCAGATTCCAGGCACAGGCAGGAGGCAAGCCCAGGGTTGAATCAGGTTTCCTGGGTTTTCTGCTGATGCTAACAATGTTTTTAGAATGAAATCCAGTGGCTATAGGAAAGGAAGAAAATCTGGTGCCACACACTGTGCCATCGCAGTTAATTGGCACAGGCCAAGACTGGAACAAACAGAAACCCAAGGGAACTTTATAGTTGCTGGGATTGCAACTTTCCGTAACAGTGGCCACCTGAGGCCTCAATAAGAGTTTTAACTTGAGGTTTGCCACTGTGAGCTTGAAGAGTTTTGTTTTTTTTTCTTTTTTTTTGTTTTTTTTTTTGTTTGTTTTTTGTCTTTTTGAGACAGGGTCTTGCTGTGCAGTTCAGGCCCGGTGTGAACTCACTTTGTAGCCCAGGCTGGTCTCAAATTCGCAGCGATCCTCCTGCCTCAGCCTCCAGATTGCTGGGATTACAGGGGTGTGCCACCACGTCCGGCTTTTTTTTAAAATTTGAAGAAAGATAGAAGATGGGTGGGTAGTGTTACTAAACGTACTGTTATGCAAGGCTATTTTTTATTCAGTATGTCGAAAGATTTTATTTTAAAAATTCACCTGTGAGTAATAATATCTGTGTATTATTTATATACATAACAGTACCAGTTTTGACTCATTTATACATGAAATGCTCATGGTTAAGTTGCTGGATTGTGTATCACATCATTCATATCAGTATTGGTCTTTTGAGTAACAGATGCCAAGACAGAGTTAGATATGCAAGAGGTCTGTTGACAGAAAGGCCTCAGTGATCAGAGGGAGAGGGAGCAGGAGGAGCATAGTGTGTGCAGAACCTTCAGACCCATGTGCGGCGCTAACCCTTGTGGAAAGAGACAGGAAGGAGGAAAAGAAGAAAGGAAGGAAGGGAGGGAGGGAGGGAAGAACTTCAGCCTGGCAGTATAGCTCTGAAAAAGTTTTGGCCAGATGGAGGGGAGCCAAGCGCTAAGCTGGCCCATCCAGGTGGTCCCAAGTGAGGCAGGGATGGCCCAGCTCTGGTCTCCTTGTGCTCAGTCATCAGGTAGGATAGACTGGGGAATGTTTAGCCTGTGTGTGAACACTGCATGAATCTGTCAGGTACAGTCCCCTGATGTTGTTGGCTGACAATGCTTTTCCATGCAGTGTCTTTCTTGAGAAAAGGCCCAAGCAGCACCCTCCATGACTGCGGTACCATCTCTCCGTGTGTAGGTCATTGTGAGGCCGTGAACCAGTAGCTGAATGAAAATACTGGACTCCAGCAAGAAATTGAATAAACAGGCAGTTAGATTTCTGCAGACCAGCAAGCAGGCCTACCTTGCAATCTGTACTCCACACTTCATAGCTGAGAGACTTCAGTCAGTTATCTTTCCTGAGCTTCAGTTTCCTTGTCTTTGAAGGAAGAGTAGTATCAGTGCCCTTTCCGTAAAGTTGCTTGCAAGATCATACGCGATGATAATGACTGTGAAGTACTTAGCTCTGTGTAGCCTATGGTAAGCTTAGTCATTGTTGCAATAACTTAGGGTTCGTTTTCCAAACACAGGGTGAACCTGTACATTAATGTGAAATAAGCACATGATCCCAGACTTAGGATTGTTGAACTGAGGGGTTTTGGACTTTACTGTGGTGCAAAAGCAGCATGCATTTGTTGGAAGCTATATTTCAGAGTTTGAGTTTTGCTGTCTCCCTGAGTTACCACTGTGTGGTCCAGTCCTCTGTTGTGATGCTGGGCAGGGGCACCAACAGCCCCCTGTCAGTGCCACCATCACAAGGGGACACAGCTGGTATTTATTGCATGGTAGGTTACATGTATTCAGTGTATTTACGACTTCAGGTATTTTCTATATTCAGTTGGTTTGTTGAGATCAAACCTTGTCACAATTGGAGGACGATGTGTATGTAGAAAACATGTGTTTTGTTGTTTTTGTGGTGCTTCAGATCGAACCTAGGGGCTCACACATGCGAGGATAGCACACTACCACTGATTTTTTAACCCAGCCAAAATACATAGTTTTAAAATATGAAGGGCTTTTCTCTTTCCTGAATGATAAAAGCAGTGTAGGGCATTATCTGGTATCAGTATAGCCAGTGAAAATTGTATTATTTAAAACTGCTTTTGACTAGGAGAGAAAGATTAATATACTCTTTAATACCAGCCTGAGTTTTTTCAAAAGAACTAATAGATCCTATCATTGGAGTAGGTGAAAGGAAATGCAAAAAGGGAGAGGGACTGGGGCCCTCCAGCATGTGCTAAGACACCTGGATTATTTTGTCATGGAAAATAGGAGCTTTATACTAAATTACCACTAGTGTTTTTGTTCTAGAATTTCCTCTTCTCATTTTTGATCTCTTAGGTGTAATTATTTACAACCTTACGCTTTACTGCGTTGAATAAGAAGTATTCTTACCAAGTCAGAAAGCTAATCATAGGGTAGGAGATAGGACAGTGGGCTGCCCAGAGCATGAATGTATGGGGATTACATTTTCCCAGAAGCTCAGGAAAGATAACTGACTGGAGTCTCTCAGCTATGAAGTGTGGAGTACAGATTGCAAGGTAGGCCTGCTTGCTGGTCTGCAGAAATCTAACTGCCTGTTTATTCAATTTCCTGCTGGAGTCCAGTATGGACCTCTGACATTCAGCCTTGCTCTGATCTGTTCATCAGATCTGCTTGGTGGCCAGCAGATCTGGGGAGGGGCATTCTAAAGATCTGGGGAAAATGAAGGTCTTACTTAGCCAATTTTGAATTCTCATTCTCTTCACTGTCAGTACTAGGGGGCTGTCAGTACTAGGCTAATATTCTAGGGTCACAGGGAGGAGACTGAATTGAATAAACAGAGGAGGGAAAGACTGCGTGGCTTGCTGTCCCTTAAGATCGGTTTTCTCAGATATGCTTCTGATGCTAATGTCACTTGTTCCTAAAGTCTTAACTCAGGAGGAAACAAAGCTAGTAATCTTTTTCCATGTTGGCCTCTTTGGGTTCACTGTGTGCAGTCTCTTTGTCAACCATCGGAAATACTGGGGTTCCATCATTAAGAAATCAAACAATAACAAATGCTGATGAGGCTGGTGAAAGTGGAGCCCTCCTGCATTGTTGGTGGGAATGCAGACTAGGACAACCGTGATGGAAATCTGTGTGGAGATTTCTCAAAGAACTGAAATCAGACATTCCACATGATTCAGCTATATATGCTAGGTATCTTCCCTGAAGAGCTTAAGTGGTCATACTACAGCGATACTTACGCACCAGTGTTTACAGCAGCACAGTTTGTAATAGCTAAATCCTGGAAGCAGCCTGGATACTCATGAACAGATGACTGGATAAAGAAAATGTGGTATCTGTATATAATGGAATACTACTTGGGTGGAAAGTATGACCAGTTTGAGACGTTTGTAGAAAAATGGATGAACCTGAAAAATGTAATGTTGAGTGAAATAAACCAGAGACACAAGTTTAAATACCATATGGTATCTCCCATTTGAGTGAGGCAGAATGCACACAAAGAGTATAATAAAGGGTGAATAGAAAGGGACAAGGGGATGGATCTCTTGTCATAGGGAAGGGCTCAAAGGGAGCAAGCGCGAGGCGTGAGGAGGAGGAGATGGGGAGATAAGTAGGAAAAGATGTCCCATGTACAGGAGCCTGATTACCCCAATTGCATGAGCTAAGAATAATATCAACAGGAGTGAAAAATGAGATAGGGGACCTGAAAAAGGAGGGAGGGATGAGCGTGGAGATTAAAAAAGGAAAGAAATATGTACGGGTAACCATTTCCCAGATTGTAAACAACGTGAACTGCAAACATGTACAAATTAAAAATTAAAAAAAAAAATACTGGGCTCCAAAATTCTCAGTCATCATTATTAAATATGTCAATCATTTTTCTCTTCTAGTTCCCATTTAGCAACATTGAACTCGCCCTACAAAAGCTGAAAGATGAAGAATCAAAATCAAGAGAAATTAAGCAGGTATTTGCAGCGGCTGACTGCAACCACACAAAGATGGTGGATTTTAATACATTCAGGTAATCTATATTGTGCAGCAAGAGTCCTTTTATCCCCTCAAGACTTTCCGAAGAGCAGAAAGAACACTTATTTTCGTAATGATTCTTAATCAGTTTCTTTGCATTTGTACTACTTTCTGGTTACGTTTTGGCCACTAATATTGTAGTAAATTTTATGCATTTACATATAAGATAACTATAGGTGGGAACAGAGAGACAACAGCATATTAAGTCACTCGATCTCGTTGTTTTCTTATTCGTGGTGTTAAAAGACCAAGGGCCTGCCAGGAATTGTACATCTGTGTGAGAAAGGCAGAAAAAAGGCCGGCATAGAGCACCCCTCCAAAATCTGAGGGGCAAAGGAGAGGTATCTGTCCAAGAACACAACTAAGTTGGAAAAAATAGTGAAAACTTCACTGATTACCAGAAAAAAGGTGCTATGTATATCTGTATATAAATGCTCAGACACTTGTGTATTCTGAAAGACAAAAAAACATGCAGGCATTGAGGGAAAAATATGTGACAGTAGTTAGAAATATTGTAAGAAACTATGAACAGTAGAGATTTTCTGTAAGGTGAAACTGAATTCTGGGACTGTCCAGTGACTGACCTAGGCAAATGTCCAAACAGCAGAAACAGGGAAATTCAAATTCAGGGTCTAGTACAATTGTGAGAATTCTTAGCTTGAAAACAAAGTGAATGGAGCATTCAGGAGAATGTAAATTAAATCATGGATTGAAGACAAAGGGGACTTTCTCTTTAGGCTCTGAATTTTGGCTGAAGCTATATAGTGGCTGAAGCTATATAGTAAACTGGGCTTGATGCAGTCAAGATGTGGATTGAGAAGGGCGGAAGCGAGCCCAGGCAAGGGTAGCAGGGAGGCCTTTCCAACTTTGTGTCTACAGTTGTCTGTTGCATCACTACCTGGTGGCCCACCGCGAGGCCCGAAGTGTCCCAAGAGTTTGTTTGTCGTTTTAACGAAGCTCTTTTCTATCCCGAAATGTTCTTGTAAGAGAAGCAGCAGAGGACATACTTTTATCGTCTAGGGTTCCCAGAGTTCTGATATCAGTAAGAATTTATAGTTCTCTGTTACAGTTCATAGGCACATGCACATGTTCGAGGTGTTCTGGAAAACAAAATGGTGACAGATTAAAGTATAAAAGATAATTATTCAGGCCCTGAACTGGTAGCAAGCAGTAGAGGAGAAAACAAGGAATTTCCATCAGAAATGAGGGAACGGTTTTATTTCATTATCTTTTTTTTGTCCTTTTACAAAAGCATCCATTCGCAATACTCTCACAAAGACTGTAGGAAATGAAAAGCTGGGCGTGGTGGCGCACGCCTGTAATCCCAGCACTGTGGAAGCTGAGGCGGGAGTAGGTAGTATTGTGAGTTTGAGACCAGCCTGGGCTCCAAAGTGAGCTCAAGGCCAGCCTGAACTGTGTAGTGGGACCCTGTCTCAGAAAGAACAACAGCAACAACAACAAAAGACTATTGGAAATACTTTAGTGAATTCATGGAGTTTTTAAAAAATCAGCATGTATTTGCAATGCATAATAATTGCATTCATCTTAGGGAATTGGTTCCTATTACATATTCATCTTGATCATTTTTATTCTCCTTCCCCCCATACTTTTCTCTTTCCTACTTCCACAGATCCCTTTCCCATCTCTACAAAGTCTATCTCCCTATTTCCTACCATTTCTTTTATTTTGGTCTTTAAATTATATTTTCAGTTTCTGATAAATAGAATCCATGTAGTACTTAAGCTTCTGCATCAGGTTTATTTCACTTAGCATTACAGTCTCAGGATCCATCCATTTTCTAACATATGCCTCAAATTTACCCATCTTTATGGCTGAGTAGTACTCCATCATGTATACATTGTATTTTCTTTATCCATTCATCCATTGATGGGCCTATACAATAGGCTTCTACAATTTCGCCGTTGTGAATTCTGCTATTATAAACATGGCTGTGCACATATCGCCTTAGTTTCTTGACTTGAACTCTTTGATCATGGTGCTTTTGGGAAAGTACTTCAGCTAGGTGGGATCTCCCAGGAAGAGAAAGTGCTGTCCAGTTGAAGGCCTGACCCAAACTGTGGGTGAGGGGCTGGGGATTTAGCTCAGCGGCACAGCGCCTGCCTGGTAAACACAAGGTTGTGAGTGCGATTCCTGGTACTGAAAAAACAAACAAACAAAAAAAAACCAAAAAACAAACTGTGGGTGAGGAAAAAGGGTTGTCACACTTTGATTTGAGGGGTGGCCTCAGGCACTGCACACTGTGAAAGAAAAAGCTCCCGAATCCGAGAAATTCCTTCAAAGAAAAATCAGCTCAGGTTACACCCAGCCTAAAAAATCCTTTAGTGGTTTGTCATTGTCCTTATACGATCCAGTCCTTTGACTGCAGCCAACAGGGCCTTGAGTGATGTGACTGTTTATATTTCTAGTGTCACAGTTGTTTTTCTCCAGCCCTGTCCTTTGACCTTGCTGGTTGCTTTACAGTTTCTCGGTCACATCAGGCTCCTTCCTGCCTCCAAGCCTGTGCACACAGTCTCTCTGCCTGGGAGGCTCTCACCACCATGCTTTCCATGGGGAATTCGAGGACTCATTCCTCCAGGGGCTTTCTTTCTCTGATTATCCTTTCTAAAGTAGATTATCCAGTTATTCTTAGCCTCTTGTTTATATTTTTCATAGCATTTAGCACAGGTTCAGTTGTTTTACTTAGAGGTGTTTTCTTGGCAGGAGTGTGTATTTGTGTGTTTTCTTCTAAGAGAATGTGAGCTTGCTGAGGGCAGGGATGTTGATGATCTTATTCATGGCAATATTCCCAGCCCTTATTGCTGGGCTTAGTAGAGACATAGTTGCTGAATGAATTAATAAACTGGTAAAGGTATTCCTTAGAGCAGTGGTGATGAACCTGTGGTATGCGTGCTGCAGTGGGCTATTTGTTTCACTGAAAGCTCTAAAAGATTTGCCATCACTGCCTTAAAGATTCTAGTTTGGAGGTGTTTGCAATAGCTCTGTATTAGTCCATTTCCCATTACTGTAGCATAATACTTGATGCCAGGTAATTAATGAAGAAAAAGGTATTTTAGCCCACTGTTTGGAAGGTTCAAGGACCTGGTACCGCCCTTGGCTCAGCTCTGGTGAAACTGGCAGATGTTATTATGGTGCGAGCACATGTAGAAGATATCATATGGCAAGATAATAAGTGAGAGAGTGGGCAGGGGCCAGTCTTTTCTATTTTATAAATATCTCCTTGCAAGAACTAACCATTGTGCCATGAGAACTACATTAATCCCTAGTGCCCCTAATTAACTAAAAACCTCCTACTAGGCCTTATCCCTTAAAAGCCCTTCCACCCCTTACATCATCACACACATCTACTGTTGGGGTATAAAATCACATCTGTTCTAGAGCAGTCTCCAAATGAGAGTGTAGCCAGGACTCACCATGTGCTGGTCCATATGACATGCTCAGTTTGGGACACTGAGCCCTCTAGGCTTGGGACTCCCCTTCTGTGCTTGGCTCATTCCTGTCAATCCTTGCACACTGTCTGCAGCCCTCTCGTGCTTCTCACTCCCCTGCCTGGGTGAAGACAAAGGAACAACATAGATTGTCCCTTTCACGTCACACCCTCATTTAATTCTGTGCTCAGTTCCTTCACTAGTTCATATTTCTCTTTACACATGTGTATGTTTGTGTGTGTGTTGTGGTTCCCACCAGAAGTTAACCTCTTTGAAGTTAACTTGCTTTAGTCTTATCCCTGAGGATAATGCTTAACAAATGGTAAGATTAATAAGTATGAATTGTGTGGATACATTTTATGTAGCCCTCACTGCTTTCGCCAGTCTTTCACCTGACCTGGAAATAGGAATATCTCTGGGATGTTTGCCCCTGGGATTCTCATGGGCATTTCCAAATAACTTCCTTGAGGTCGACCTCATTTTCTTCTCCCAGAAAATTGTAGCATGCAACCATGTCCTGATAAAAGTCCCTGTATATGTTCCTTGAGTCTCAGCTCATTTTTGTCTCACTTCTCCTGCCCACCCTTTGCAGTTGTGCTTCCTGCTTACCTTTGGAAATCTTCCCTACTCTCCACGCCTGGCTTCATAGTTGTAGGTCAGCTGTGCCACACTCTTCCTTCTGACTCTCTGGAGAGCTGTGTAGCTGATTTTTTCTTAACTTTCATGCTACATTGTTTTGCCAAAATGACCTTCCTAAAATCTGATCAGGTCATTCCTGTGCTCTAAATCCCACATCAGTTCTTCATGTTTGTAGGAGAAACCTTAGCTGTTCAGTGTATTATATGAGTTTGGTCATTATCTGTCCCTTCCTACCGCTATTTCCTTATTTCCATCTTGCTGCAGGAATACTTTTGGAGAAGCCAGCGTGTATTGAGCACCTACTATAGGCCAAACAGCCTGCTAACTTTTTTATGTCTTCTTTCCACTGGGATCCCCCTGTGGAGTTGTTACTTGTTTATTTTCCTGCCTTCACAATCTTGCCAAATACAATAGATGTTTGTTGAATAATTTAATGAATGGTTCTATTTCTTGAGCAATATTCAGTCTAAAGCTTGCAGTAGATGAATAATTGAATACTTTGCACCAGGAAGGACCATCTGTCTCCAGTTTAGTGGAGTCAGGGAAAGCTAGACCTGACCCTTCCCAGCTCAGTGACCTGGGCAACCCTACTTTTTCTCCCTGCCTCTCACTCTTTGGTCTGTATATTGGTCTCTAAGATCCTTCCTGTGCTCTGACATTCTGAAACACTGTAGGTTTATCATACACTTGTCAAACATTCGCTATTCAAATTTGTGTGTCGACATGGTTGAGAAAAGTAGAGGCAGAATTGCAGCATATTCCTCTGGGCTTTACTTCTGCGACCTGAGAATCTGTTTGGCTCAGGTGCCTTCCTGTATACCTGGGACCTCAAAGCCTCGACCTGCTGTGTTGTCCAAGTTTCTTCTTCCTCTCAGGAAAGCATTGAGGGCAGGGACTAATAATCTGCTTG